CGCAACAATTTTGTTCATTTTAATGCGAAAATCGCGGAATTCGGTCTCATTTTTTTTTCCGCCACTTTGTTTTATCGCCGAATACTGAATTATCGCTTGTTCGAACGATCGTTCAATTCCAAAATTGAGGGATTTGTTTTCACAGAAAATAATAGGCGAACTTTAGAGTGCGATTATTCCGAATGAATCAGTGACTTCTCCAGTCACGGAAGCCGTACCGAGAAGTTAATTTATTACTCATCGATTTCCTTAATAGTGAATCTGAAATATATGAATATATTGTCTGACGTCCGCGGAGAAGTTTGTGGGTAGGTCCGCAATGTCATTCTCGATTAATTGATCGTGATCGATTCCGCACGTGCACGCGTTCGTTCTCTGCGTCGTGTGAGTTCGCGGCAGAATAGACACTGATGACGTTACATGTGGGATTTCCAAGATTTTTAAAAAATCCACGAACATTTCGCGATGAACGACAGCCGCGGGCTACAGTGATTTCCTCTTTCTCCCTCTCTTTCTCCCCTCCCCCTCCACCCCCCTTTTTCTCATTCTATTGCAATTTCCAGTTTGGAAAGAGAACAACGACGTTCATGTAGGAGAGAGAGAGAATTCAATGTCTCTTCGGATCCTCTCAAAAATTAATCTTTTATTAAAAATGTTATCATATCATATTATAAATTATTATAGGTATTAATGTTATTATCAATATCATTAATAAATATTAATATATTATATTAATAATATTTATATTTAAATAATACCGTAATATCAATAAAATGCTGGCAAATCTAAAAATTTGACCAATTTTTCAAAAAATTTGAATTATTTTGTAGAACACTTAAATATGATGATAATACTGCAAAAATGTTTGTTCTTCTAACAATCAATTTGAACATCGTATATAATAATTTTGAAGGCCCAACAAAATCGTTTTCAGATCTGTATTTAGCAAAATTTTTAGATTTGCCAGCCAAAGTGTTCTTTCCGTGTAAAAACTGAAAAGCTTTGATGTTTGCTTAAATTTAAGACAGAATTAGATATAGATAATTTTAGATAATTAAAAGTAACTATTACATAAAAGTTACTATTTTTTTTAAATAATACACAAAATAAATGTATTTTTCAAAAAACATTCATGTTCTTATACCTTCCTTCTTTTGTTTTCAAAAATCTTTATTTATTTTTCATAATTAACGCAATGATGCATTCTAATGAATCCCGCAAAACCGCGGGATTTTATTGTGTAATTTTTATGCGAGGTCGAAGTATTGTTTATCTGAATCCGCCAATTTTCGTCATAGTGACAGGAATTCCCCAGGTAGACGTACGAATACATGCCGTTATCGAGTTACAATCATAAGTGAGATCGCGTTATTATCATTGAGAATCGCATAAATACGATTATCAAAAGCATCGCTAACGGTACATAATGAGTCAATAAATTTGTCGCATGTAAAATTTGACGTTTCGTAGAAGAAGTGTCATGCCATAGATATGCAAATCGATCATAACTCCTCCTTTTCCCTTCCGCCTAAAATCGCAAGTATGTATGCGAAACATTAAAGAGTCAGCCATTATATCGGGTGCTCTGATTTAAGCGAGATTAGTGTTTAGTGATAGACTAATAAAGTTTCTTTGTCACTCGTCGAAAACTTTGAAATGTTATTTTTACACTGTTTTCGATATGTTTTTGTTAATTTTCACATATTAAAATGTTATTCAAACACATTCTATTTGATATGCAATAAGGAATAACCTTTGCTCTGTTTTTTGAGATTTATTTCGCTTCGCTTTCAGTTTCAATTATTTATAGTTTCGAAAATTATTTACGTTTTCGACATTGTAATAAAAGAGATAATAAAATCCATTATAATCTGTACTATGTGATACGTCATAAAACACCCGGTATATACGGAACAGCAGGTATGAACTGAAACTTTTTAAATTCAAATTACATCAACGGGATTTACATATCTTTTTCTTTTTTTTTTCTTTCTCCAAAGGAATGTATATATATTCTCGATGTTTCTGAGACGACGGAACTTCCAAACGTGAACATATGACTGTCTCGATGAAATCATAGGAAACCCGCGCAGTTTCACGTGTCCATGGTCGTAATATCATCGCGCGCTACGCGAGTCTTATACGTGACTTATTCTACGCGGTAAAAGCAGGGATTTTCCGCTGCCACCTCGGCAGCGTTCTTTGTGTCCACCGTCACGGACGTGGATCATCTTTTCTCGCATTAATTACGTTACGGTGATTAGAAGCAATTATGTTGCAAATTTCCAAATAGCTGTCACGACTGCGGGAAAAAGTGCGGTTAAATATGTTAAAATATATTTGAAATATGCGATTCGAGATTAAAATTAAGCCAATATTTCTCATTGCACTAGTCTCCTTTTGCCATGAATTCCTTAATTTTTCCTTAATTTCCTTAATTTTTTTCTAATATTCATTTTCCTAGTTTTAGAACATTTATCTCTCACTAGAAATAATTGTCCGTTCTTGTAATAAAAAAAAAAAAAAAAAAAGATTAATATTTATCGGATATACCTACCGCTATAATTACGTTGTTCCAAATTTTGGGGTAAAGCGGGTATCGTCTGCCCCGGCATCAATTTGTTCCTCTCCATTGGAGACAATGGATCTGTGAGAGCCTTGGCACAAGCGAGATCTCCGCTTATGCATGCCAGATGGAGGGCCGTGTTTCCACGGAAATTCCTGAGGGATGGATCCGCGCCCGCCAGGATCAGCCGTCTGACGATCAGCGACTGATGCGTTAGCACTGCCAAATGCAAAGGTGATTGCCAGTCGTCGTTCATGGTATCCAACAGGCACGAGTCAGGTGCCATTCTTATTAAAGAGAGTGCAGCTTCCACGAAGCCCTGTACGATCGCGATATGTAGTTGCCTGTAAAGATAAAAAATGTGTTACATAAGAACCGATCAATACACAAAGTGAGAGGGAGAGGAGAGATCTCGAGGTGTCACGACATTCCTAGTATTATTATTCTTATTTATTAACCTCTCTGACGCTCGAATATTTATTCGTCAACATTTTAAATTAACATTTTGATTTTCGGGCGCATTTGATTTTTTTTCCGCGGCACAAAACAGTTTCTTATCGCATGCTTTTTCTTTCTTTTTCGTCACGCAAGTGCACATCTCCCTTTTTTATACAACGTGCGTCATTGTGCAGGTTTATCGATGTTGTTGCTCATCTAAATTCCCGAAAGAAGATCCTTATCGAAGAATGAAACTCGTTTCATTGAAACGGTCAATGTGCTCAAGCCACTCATCTAGTGTACGTATGATGTACAGATCATTCCATGCACATGACAACGTCGACATTACAATATAATAGAATAATATTCGTGCTAAAGTGTGCACGTGTTACTACGTTTTTACGTTTGTAAAAAAAAAGGAAAATAAAACAACGGGAACAAAGAACAAATACTGACGTGGGATCGGAGACGACTTGCTGAGCCAGATAATAGCGGGATATCAGCATTATATCTGCTTCTAATTACTTCCCGCGATATTCCCGTCGCGTTGGATCGCGCATTAACATAGTGCACAACATTCGACCCTGGACCGCGATCGCAAGCCCGCTGTGGCCGCAATAAGTCGTTAAGAGGATCGCAAAATAACGGATCCTTGACTCGAGCTAATGGCACAAGTAGAAAAAAAAGTAGCGGTAAGACTTGAGCAGGAAGTGAATCGAATGATCAGTTGAGAATTATCGAAAGCGTGAAGATTATCATTTTAAAACTCTTAGCTACAATTGGTCAATTTGCTTCCTGCTTAAGTTTTATTGCTTACGGCTTTTTTTTCCCGTGTGCCACTTGCCTCGTCGGCGATAAATGCGAGATGCGAGGCGACAAGTGGTCGGTCAAAGCGTTTAGTGCCAACGATGAAGAGAAGAGACAGTCAGAGTATCCAAATGAGCGCGAATGATTATCCAAATAACACTCCACCGTCACTCAATGCTGTTCATTTAATTTTGACGGAATTTAGACAACACATTCAATTCCAATGTCGCGGAAGATGCCGCTAGTTAACTTTGTAAAAGAAAACAAAACGCTAATTGACACGTTTCGCTAGCTGATACTAACTACTTCCGTTTCCAATCCATTTCTATTAATGTTTATTAATTTCGATCTTCATTTCATTTGCTCTCTTCGAAGAGAGAGAGAGAGAGAGAGAGAGAGAGAGAGAGAGAGAGAGAGAGAGAGAGAGAGAGTAGAGAGAGAGAGGAAGAGAGAGAGAGAGAGAGAGAGAGAGA